ATTGCTAAGCCACTGCGCCACGGAGCCGTCAATATGAAATCGTTTTTTTTTTATATGAAAGCTGGTACTTCCCGTGAGGTCCCATATAAATTTGATCAAGGTGTGACCAATTGTTTTTGAGTTATTGTTAATAATTTATATTGAAGTCGGTTGTACAAAACTTTTAATTTTTAATTATTTAAATGTATGTTTTTGTACCGCGCGGTAGCGAGCTTTATTGTCTCGCGTTACCGTTACAGCCTATTTAAGTCCATTGCTGAACACAGACCGCCCTCATAAATTGCCTCACAGGAGATATATTTGCCATAGTCGTCACGCTCTAACAGGCGGGTTTAGTAACCGCAGTTTTTTATTTTTTATCGTTATTAGGAAGACGTTGCTGGTTTGTCGTTTCCCTCTGTCGCGTCTTACGACACCCACGTGACGATATGGGGTAGTGGGTATTCTTTCACCGCCACCACATGGTCAAGTCCCGTGTATTTAAGGAAAACGATGTAGTCTCATTATATTCGAAGGTTGAACGCATAATTCATTAAACGATTAATGGCTAAATACACAAACGCTACTCAATTTTAAGCTGTTGATAAGTCTCGTGGTTTCACAGTCACTTTTACTTTATTTCGTTATGTCTTTCATAATTTAAAAAAAAAACGTTACCTCCACACTAGGATTTTCTTTCAAAAAGACAAACATTCAGACCCGGAACAATGAATTGTAGGGCATACAAATAATTGTACCGTGCGGAATTCGAACCCGCGGCCCTTAGCGCTGCAACTCATCGCTGAGCCACTGTGCCATGGAGACGTCAAATTAAAGTGATAGAAACAGCATGAGACTTAACGGCATCTTCAAATAGAGTAGCGTAAGCGAGTAGTTTTTTTTTTTATAGGAGAGGGGGCAAACGAGCATGCGGCTCACGTGATGGTAAGTGACTACCGCCGCCCATGAACAGCTGCAACACCAGGGAGGGAATCGCAGATGCGTTGCCGGCCTTTTAAAAAGGAGTACGCTCTTTTCTTGAAGGTCCCTAAGTCGTATCGGTCCGGAAAAATCGCTGATGGTAATCGATTCCACAAGGAAGTCGTGCGAGGAAGAAAACATCTTCTAAATCGCACAGTGGTGGACCGCCAATCATCCAGATGGTGTGGATGGTATCGGGAGTTCAGCCGCGATGTGCGTTCGTGAAATTTGGCGGCTGGGATTAATCCGAACAATTCCTCAGAGCACTCCCCGTGGTAGATGCGAAAGAAAATGCAAAGGGATGCAACATCTCTTCGCAGTGCCAATGAATCGAGCCGATCGGAAAGGACTCGGTCGTCGACGATTCGAGCCGCTCTGCGCTGGATGCGGTCAAGTGGAAGGAGCTGGCACTGGGGAGTCCCAGCCCAGAGATGAGAACAGTTTTCCATGTGAGGCCAAACCTGCGCCTTGTAAAGTTGCAGGCGGTGTGCCGGCATGAAATACTGTCCCGCTCTGCTGAGCATGCCAAGCTTTTTAGAGGCCAATTTGGCCTTCTCTTCCAAGTGACCACGAAACTGCACGTCACTCGATATGTCGACTCCGAGGATTCCGATACTGGCTGAGGCAAGAAGGGGAGTGCCTTGAAACTGAGGAGATACGACAAAGGGTAGCGAGTATTTCGCCATAAACGTCTAACTTGATGAATTATTTTTTAACGTGTTTATAAGTTTGACCTATGTGTTGTGTATGAATGTAATGGAATTTTTTAACTTTACGAAACACGACTGATAACAAGCCCTGGGAATGAGTTGATCGGTATCATGCTGTTCTAAATGTTTTCATATCTTATTGTGCAACATACTATATTGTAATTTAATGTTTATTAAAACCCCGTTTTGGTTTCTTGTAGGTTCTTCCCAGAACAAAATGTTGTTTCCGAACCAGTGGTAAAAGCATAAATGACTTTTAATAAGTATTCTCGTAATCTTTTTGAATAAAAATATTCTAGAATAGAATAGAATGGTATTGAGGTGACAGAGGGAAACAAATCACGAGATGGGCAGCAGCGTCTTCCTAATACCAGCGTAAAATAGCAGCTTAATACTGCTGTGTTTCGTATGGTGAGTGTAGAGAACCGGTGACCATTTTTGCTGGAAAAGAGGCATTCCATGTTAGTCCTCATGGGTGACAACGCATCTGCATTTTGATTCGCGAACGAGGATAGATGTAGATGTCTATGGGCCACAGCAACTACTTATCATCAGGTGGACTGTGTGCTCGCTTGTCACCCATATCCTATTAAAAAAAAGAAAAAAATAATAACAACTAAAAATAAAAAAACTGCGGTTACCAACCCGCTTGCCAATCATGGCAACATGACAAAAAGCCCCCGTAAGGCAATTTATGGGGGAGGCCTAACATAGGCAGGGGTTATTATCAACCATGTATTTATTTATATTATAATAACCCTTCTTGTACAGTTTTTGTTTATTTAAATATTTAAACTTGGTAATAGAGATACCTTGTATATTTTCTGGGACTTTGTTGTAATAGCGTATACATTGCCCCAAGAATGAATTACTGACTATGTGGAGTCGAGAGTCCGGTATCACTAGCTTGTGTTATTTCCTAGTGTTTACAGAACGTATATCACTTTTTTTACAAAAACTATCTTTGTTTCTGTGAACATACATTAAATTTTCGTAAATATACTGAGAGGTCAAAGTTAATATATTTATTTCTTTAAATTTTTCTCTAAGAGACCCGGTTTAAGGTTGTAAATAACTCTTATAGCCCTGTTCTGCAAAACAAAAATAGTTTCTAGATCAGCCGCATTTCCCCATAGCCAAATAATAATAATAATAATAATAATATTCCACAACAATCAAACAACGCCATCTAGTCCCAAGCTAAGCAGAGCTTGTGTTATGGGTACTAGACAACTGATAAACATACTTATATATCTCTAAATACATAAATATTATAGATAAATTACACCCAGACACAGAACAAATGATCGTGCTCATCACACAAACATTTGTCCTGGGTGGGAATCGAACCCACGACCTACGGCGTAGCAGTCAGGGTCACTAACCACTAGACCAACAGGCCTGTCGATCACATGAGACATTATGCTATGGAAATAACTGAAATAAACTAATCTAACCTCTTTTACAGCATAAGCTGCATAGCTTAGTCTGCTTGCTAATTTGAATATATGGGGACCCCACTGAAACTTTGATCTGATCTAAAATAATATTTTTTTCAAAAATTTTACTTAATGTTGGTAGTCCATAAATTGGTCTAAAATTGGCGGGGTCTAATATTCTACCAGATTTAAATAAAGGTATGACTTTTTTTATAGGATAGGGTGACAAACGAGCACACAGTCCACCCGATGGTAAGTGGTTGCTGTGACCCATAGACATCCACATTTATCCTCAATAAAGAATCAAAATGCAGATGCGTCGTCACCCGTGAGGACTAAGATGGAATGCCTCCTTTCTAGTAAAATAGGTCTTCGGTTCTATACACTTACCATACGAAACAAAACAGTGTCAAACCGCCATTTTACGCTGGTATTCTGTGAGAGCGTGGTTCCTCCCCGGCCAAGCCGACCCATTCGTGCTACAACTATACTACTATGGTTCATTAGATCAGCAAACACACCTGATTCGACGCTTGTATTAAAAATTGTGACTAGATAAGCTACTACAATATCTATTATAGGTGCAATAACTTTAACGGAAATCCCCCATAAGTCTGCCGTTTTCTTAACATCAATAGTTTTAAAATATTTAACGATATCTTTTGGCAGTACTCCAATTTAAAAGTATCTGAACAAGTGGGATGCGGGTAGTAAAAGACTGTGCCATTTTGTCCCTTAGGAGTGTAATGAGAACTTTTTGCCCCTATTCAACCATGACCCCCCATGACATCCTCTACATGATAGGCTATTCAAACTGACTATGCCTAAAGTTCGAGCCACCCCCAAGTCATTTCTAGTCTTTACTTCCAATTACTTCCAACAAGGCTTTACGTTTTGTTTAAGCAATGATTCGGCGACAGTAGGAGTGATTTTGTTGTCAAAAAAGGAACATCAGTAAAATGTTTCTCAAAAGACATAGTTACTTCCTTAGCTATTATAGCCTAGGCTCATCCTTGCAAATCTGTTCGTAAAGTTTCATGACAATAGGTTTAGCCATTGCAAAGATTAGTCCCGACAGACAGACAGACAGACAGACAAAACATGTAATTTTTATCTCATTCGCATAATAAAAACAAACAACCCTCTGAGCTTAATAGAAGCCAGTTATTTCAATATTACAGACATACATTTCAATTTTATTTATAGGTATAGAATACAAATATATACCAACGTTTTCTGATTGTGCCGAGATTCGTCTTAGTCAGAGCCAGTTTTCAGTCGCGTATACAATATTTAAGCTAGAAAAGTTGCTTTCACGGTCTCGTAATAAGGAAAGGGCAATGACCTCACACAGTTCAAGGCAAAAAATGGGGAATTGTAGTAACAAGATATGTATAACACCCAATTTACTTGCGCATTAGTATTCCTCGCACCCTCACGCTTTTCATCTCTCACCATGTCTTCAAGTATAGGGATGTCAACATATCAGAGAATATAATACATTTCTTATTCTATTTTTTTTATCTTCCACTTTGGTCAACAGCTCCGAATGAGTTGCGGCGCTGAGGGCCGCGTTTGATTCCCGCATAGATCAGGTATTTGTATGGCCTACAAATAATGGTTCTCGATGTTTGACCCTTTTTACTGGAAACGAGACATTCCATCTTCGTCCTCACGGGTAGTAACGTGTGCTCAATTGTCACCCAATTCTATATAAAAAAAATCAAGCAGAAATGCAAAAATTTATCCAATTCAGGTGGCTTCTTTCGATGTTTCTTATACCACTGCATTCTTAAACCTATGTAAGTTGCGACTTATACTAAATTTCAAAATCAAACCCCCACCACCCAAACAAATGTCCAGGACAAACGATACTGACTACGGGACTCACCGATGACGACGAGGTCGATGTCGCTGGTTGGCAGGTAGAGGCCCGTGCGGAAGGAACCGAACACCTCGACCCGGGCCTGAGGCCAAAGCGTAAGGATAGCGCCGCGGATCCGGTTCACCACGGTCGTGCGGACCAGGTGCTCCGTCTCCGTCGGCGACATGTACAGGTAGAAGTGCTCGATCTCCTCGTGCAGCCTGTGAAACGTTAAACCTTGTATTTTTTTTATTATTATAAGCCAGTGCTTGGCTACAATTCTAGATAAGTACGTGATGGTATAGCCCAGTGGTTCTTATTCAGTGGTCCGTGGACCACTGGTGGTTCCTAAAGGCATCCGAAGTAGTCCACTAAGACACTAAAAGTGTCTCACGTTAAAAAAAGTTAGAAACATTCATAACAAAAGCTGATGGTCCTTGAAAATATCTGAAGTGGTCCGCGAAGGCATTATACAATTCTCTCAAATATAAAAAAATTTAAAACATTTTTGGAGATCATGGTCGATGTGCAGATACTGCCGATGCGATTTATAAAACAAGATGTTTTTGTTAATTACCAAATTAAGTTTTATATGTGTTTTGATTATAGAAAATTTTCAAAATCAACTTTACAATAATTTATAGTATGTCTAAAGTTGAGAGTCGTAACACGAAAAAAAATCGGTCAAATGTTCCTTCATGGTTAAGAACCACTAGCCACTAGTATAGCCGCGTAGACCTACAAACCTAGATGATGAGGTGCGTTGGGTTCATCATCATCATTCACAAGCGTTCTTTTCATTTGATTACAATGTCTTCAAAGCAATATGCCATAGAGGAAAAGGTTCAAGAGTGGCAGTTTTGTCTGCAGCCCCCACAAGACTGACCTGGTAAGACATGCAGAAAGTTTTAGAACACAGGTGGCTCAGGACGGTGTGGCGTGCAGTTGTTGCAAACGGTGGACTTGTGATACTTTGTAATAATAATAATGTCCTCCAGGCTGAATTTCGGGCACGGCGACCTGTCCCATCGGACACTAGCCATCTGCGCAGGACAGAATTATAGTGGCAAAGTGTTTGGTCACTTTCAAACACGACACTACAACAACCGGAGAGAGATCAGGCGCAGAAGCAACGGCTTTACGTGCTTCCGAGTCCGAGGCACGGGGGTGAAAACACCGCTAACTTCCTTACTCCGGGCTGCTACTGAGAAATTGTTAACAGAAAAACCAAATAAGGAATTTTGGTCCGAGCCGAGATACGAATAGACCTCGTGATCACCAATCGCGTGTATGACCACCAGACCAACGGGGCAGTCATCGTCATAGTCATATAATAAATGATTGACTAAAAATTAAAATAAAGGAAGCTTCCTATTTTTATTACATCTTTTGTTTTTTTTTTTTTAAATTGTATTGTGTTATAGGGTTGCTAACTTTTTCAGACTAAATATATATTCTTTTTTATTATAGTACTATGTCATTTCCTTTAATATGACATTTGATATTGTAGTGTCATCATCTCTTATACTACTAATTATAGCTTTTGACAACCTAAAACCTAGTCCTCTCAAAGAAAAAAATAACGAAATAAATATAGTAACTTTAGCCTCTCTGTATATTTACGAAAATTTTACGTATCCGCACAAAACCAAAAGTATACCAGGACAAACACAAGCATTCATTCATGGGGATATACCGCTATTACAACAAAGTCCCAGATAATTTAAAGGTCTTTCGATTACAAAGTTTAAATTTTTTATCAAACAAAGACTTTACAAAAAGCATTATTATAATTAAAATGATTACATGGTTTGTAATAACTACTGGGAATGAAGTGGTCGCTTCCAAGCTGCATCGTAAATAAGTGTTGTAAGTAGTTTGTAGTTTGTGCAACCTGAGTGTCGCGGGGTATCTTGCTATCTCACTGGTTTTTTTCGAACAAGTGGTATTATTAAAAAAATATTTTCAATAACAATTACTTAATCTATATTGAATTAAAAAAAAACAGAGGTAAAATAGCCATAAGCACTGGCGACACAAGTGAAAACTCAATGATATATGCGTAGACATGTACACAGGCCACTGGCGAGCATAGGCTAGTGACGCAAGTTTTTCCCCTACCGAAAATGACTCAATGCGGCTAAAGAAGTTTTCACTTCTATTATTGTTCTTTTCTATTCTAAATTATTTTATGGTTTTCGTACCTATTTTATGGTTATGGTACTCTTCATAAAAACATATAGTAAAACAATAAATGGAGACTTGGAAACCCTACACGTTAAGTACTTACAGGCAGTAAATACAGTTTAAATATAAAAGTAAATATATTTTGTCTTCGCATTGATTTTAAATTAGCCCAAATGTGCAGACTCAACGGATTCAACTCGGTTGGGCAGCGTTCGGGAAATTACGGCACATCTTCTCGTCAGGTATACCTCAAAACTTGAAAACGAGACTGTACACCCAGTGCGTGTTGCCAGTGATGACATACGGAACTGAGACGTGGTCCTTCACTGCTGGCCGGATGAGGAAGCTCAAGGTCGCTCAGCGAGCTATGGAGAGGGCTATGCTCGGAGTTTCTCTGCGTGATAAACTCAGAAATGAGGATATCCGCAGTAGAACTAGAGTGACTGACATAGCCCAACGGATTAGTAAGCTGAAGTGGCAATGGGCCGGCCATATAGCTCGAAGAACCGACAACCGATGGGGAAGAAAGGTTCTCGAGTGGCAGCCTCGTACCGGCAGGCGAAGTGTAGGGCGTCCCCCCACTAGATGGAGTGACGACCTGGTAAGATATGCAGGAAGTCGATGGATGCAGGTGGCTCAGGACCGTGCTTTGTGGCATTCTTTGGGGGAGGCCTATGTTCAGCAGTGGACTTGTGAAGGGCTGTAATGATGATGATGATGATGATGATGTGCAGACTCATTTTAGCTGTTATGGTGTATATAAAAATCTAAATTGTTTTCAGAATTACAATCTCTTCGTTTCATAATCAGTAGAATATAATTTAATGTACCATTGGTTCGGAAAAAAACTTCTTCTGGTTCTTCCTCGAAAGAATCGGCAAGGAATAGCTTACAATAATACATATTACATTAATATTTATAAAGATTATTTACCATACAACCGAAGGGAAATACAGCTGGTTACCAGCCTTGTACCGGGTAGGCAGTGTGGAGTCCTCCTTAAAATGGAGTGATGAGATGGTAAAACGTGCACGAAGTTGATGGATGCGGATGGCACAGGATTGCGTTCTGACATTTTGTCGCATTCCTTGAGGCCTATGTTTAGGTATATGATAATGTACGATATGGTACGCCTAACTGCGAAACAGCCTTACTGCCACGGGTTACCGTCATCTTTGTTTTATCCTTATCTTTATGTATTGTCATTACTAAATAATTATTCTGTCCTTGTGTACTTGTGACTGAACTCCTTCTAAGCGGCTGGAGCAATTTTGATGAAATTTTGTGTGAGTTATTAATTTGATTCGAGAAGTGTCGTTGTTGTCGAGATCCATAAATCACCAGTGCAAAGCCGGGGCCGATCGCTAATTTAATGTATAATAATAACCTTTCATATATCGACCTATAGCATTTTTGTATCGATTTACCAATATTTAAAACCAAATAATTTGAATTCAACTTAATGCTATATTGTTATTCATTAAATTTCAAGTATCAAGAACTCATATTTCTTTATTAGGGGTGTTTTTTTATAGGATAAGGGTGACAAGCGAGCACACGGTCCACCTGATGGTAAGTGGTTGCCGTGGCCCATAGACATCTACATCTATCCTCGTTCGCGAATCTAAGTACAGATGCGTTATCAGCCGTGAGAACTAAGATGGAATGCCTCTCTTCAAGTAAAAAGGGTCTCCGGTTCTCTACACATACGAAACACAGCAGCATTAAGCTGCTATTTTATGCTGGTATTCTGTGAGAGCGTGGTCCTTACCCGGTCGAGCCGACCCATTCGTGCTACAACTATACAATTAATATAGCTGTAGCTTGGCTCTATTCGGTATGAATATAAATTTAACTGCGCGTTAACTGCTGGGCATATTTACTTTGTCATCTCATAACCGCCCACAAAATATCTGCAACTACAGTCGCTAAAAAAAACAAATGTTTCTCGCGACACTAGTCTGGCGGCAGGTCATAAACATTCCGAACATTTCAAGTTCTAACGATGAAAAAGTTAACATCTTTCCATCTCATGTTAACAGTTTCAATAGTAATATCGTTATTTATATGACTGCCTCGTTTGTCTAATGGTCGTAAATACGTTTACTGATTATGGGGTCTTTGATTCGAACCCTGGGTGGGGTCAAAATCAGTTATTTTCCTCATTAGCAGCCCGGAGTCAGAAAGCGCATAAAGCCGCTGCTCCTGCGATCTCTCTCTGGTCGTGTCGGATTACCGTCCTATCGAACTATGAGTGAGGGAATATCTATGCTTGCACATTCACTTGGACACTATAATCCTGTCTCTGTTTATCTCTGTTAACTGGTCCGGACTAGGCGCCGTGACCGAAATTCGGTCTGAGGGACATTATTATCAGTTACTTAGAACCCGGAAACTATTTTCACGCATATTTAAGGAATTGTAAAGATTAACCCGGAATTTTTTTTTTTGATAAAATTGTGAAATATAGAAGCCCCGGTCTCGTTCATAACCGAAGCCACAGACATAATTTGATCGATTGATAAGAATCCTACTTTTTACAAACGTTACCCAAGTCAAAATTACTAAACTTTACTAATAAAGAGAAAGTAGGTAGCTGGTATAACAAATCAGTCGAGACCGGGATTGCGGAACGAGGCGGCAGGAGGGAGGAGCGAGGTCAATGTCCCTCCCCCTCCACGTGACTGAGCCGCTGACCCAGTATATTGACCCAATGTCTAGGCGACGTCTCGAGGCCTCGACCCTCCTCATACGGAAGCAACGATGCGAATATGTGGGGATAATAAGTGGAAGTTAGTGATGGGGTATTGTGCACAGTGGCTATAGTCAGTAAAAATCTCGCATTAGCAATTCGTTAAGTGCGCCGTGGTAGCTCAGATGGTTAGCACTCCCTGTATCCCTGTGTTCACAGTACGCGAGAGAGCATAGAAATAGAAATCCAGTATAAATACAGAATGCGTCTATCGTAGTCCTTTAGTTAGTCTAGTTAGTCTAGTTAATAACGCATCTGTAACTTTCTTTTTACGAGTGGGTC